GAGACTTTGAATGGATTCATTATTATATTTACTCAATCATGAATGAAAATGCCAAAATAACATCTCTTGATTTGAAAACAATAATTGAACATAAAAAAAAAGAAGCACAATTTAAAAGATGTGATATAGTCCCAAAACAATAAAAGTTTTGAACATGCAAGGAGACCATATTTGGAAAAGTTTAGGCTTTTATTTCCCGCTAACCATGATATCTGCATTCATTTTATTAAAGCCAATTTAAACTTTTTGATTTTACCTATTTTTCTTTTATGGAATCAACTGCTTAATTTGCTTATCATTAAGATAAAATCATTATCTAATTTTCCTCTTCAACTAACTCAAAACCTTTTATAATTATGTTATACTCACCATTTTTTCTTTAAACGATAACCATCCATAATAAATCAAATTGTTGATATACTTTTTAAACCCTTGACAATGGTTTATGAAATGACTCACAGCTTCTGCATGATACTTATATTTAGTATTTTTATTATAACATTTAGAAAAAAATATTTAAAAAGTTTTGAGTGGTAAAAATACTATCTAATGAGCTTTCATAAGATGTTGACAAATGTTAACGAGAGAACTCAAAATGATTGTTCATAGAATTTTCTTTTACAACTTGGATATTATGTGTTTTGAGAAGCATGATGTTCATGCTAAAATAAGGATAGTGAATGTGTTGAATTTTATGGTAGAATATAGCAGATGTGACTAAGTTTCTATGCCATTTTCTCAAATGTCATTGGCTCATAGAATCTTTTGATGATATTCTCTTTAATAATTGTAGGTGTTGCCCTCATATCTTCAATTTTTCTTTTCGTCAGAGATCATTGGATGTTTTCAGCGATGATCATTATATCCAAGAATTGCTTTGAAGTATTGCAAATTATATGTCTAAAATAAAAGGCATTAAAGGTGTTCATAAAAAAGCAGATAATTTCCTTTTAAAACAAATAAGGATTAACATGAATGAGGATACATTATCATCTTTGAACATATTTTTTAATAATTTTATCGGTTCTTTTCTCTATATTTTATAAGGTTATTCTAGGGGCTAATTCTATATTCAGGTTATACTATTTGATAAAAGATATGACCAAATCACTCAACTTCTTGATTTTAATTCTATCAAAACCCATTCACCAACTAAAGTAGGTTGTTCAACTAGGTTTTTAAAGAAGTAATGGAACTATTTTTATAAAAGTAGTTGGTGCGTATGACACGACTAAAAGATTGATGTCTTCTCCCAAGTGCAGGAGTGTCGAAGTAATAAATAACCCGGCCAGACTGGGGTCGAACCATAGGGAGATTAATTGTACAAATTATAAATAATAATAATACAACAACAACAACAATAACAACAACAATAATAATAGTAGTAGTAGTAGTAATAATAATAATAATAACAATAACAGTAACAATAATAATATTAATAATAAAGAAAAAGAAGGAGAAGAAGAAGAAGATGATGAGAATTTTGAGATGGAATATTAATGTAAGGATTAAACAATGATAATAACAAATGTCAAGGTTAGAGGTTCCACTAATAGTATTTCAAACAAGTATAGTGTAAACTCTTATTACTCAAATGGAAACCACACACAAAGGAGGTTCCAATCGAATTATAGATTGTTAACATGATTACATTAG